CATGTTTTCATACCGTTGTGTGCCCCCCTAGTTTATGAGTTTCAGTGACATTTGACATGTTAATTTGGCGGCAATACGAAATTCAGAATCCCATGGGCTAACAGCTTCGCATTGACCTGAATCTCTTTTGGATCATGCTGATCTGGGTGATTCCCGCCGGAAAGAAACAGCTATGCATTTGCTTGGAATCTAGTTTGGTTAATGATCTAGTGGCATGGATCACGTTGCATGTAGGCATGGATTAATCTAGAATGACCTGTTTTTATACCTCACTCATGGTGTTTCTTTCTGAATTCTGAGAGTGTCCTGAAGATATATCTGTGGTGCTTTGGCTCTGAAATCTTATCTATACAGACTGAAGATAAATGTTACAAGCTTTAAAGGCAGCTTAGTCGTTATAAATTGATAAGGTGCACTTTGATGACGGATTGCATTGCATCTACTTCAAAGGGGTTTCTGTTGTACGCATGTTCTTGATTCCTGAATGCGTTGTCGCTTTCTTGTTTATTCTAAGATAGACTAGAGGGTTATTTTTAGGCAATGTAACAAAATGATTTATGAGTTGTCTGGTTGCTGTTGCTCGCTAGCTCCCCATTTATAATTATCCAAGACTGTCTAAATCTCCAAGTTGGAAGCTCGACACCGTGCGGGAAGTTGAATGTTTCATTAGAATGAAGGTAATTGATCGATTAGGCACTGAATGCATGATTGGTGGAGATTCTTCGGAACATAGTATAGTTTATGAGATAACCAGGGATACAGATACCTACCTAAGGTATCACAGGGAATGTCACATAGTCAATGCACCAAAGAGGAGTAGAGGAAATGGTAGCTAACCTCTCTTCTGCCAAATACTCAAATGTTTACGTCTGTTGATTCAGATACAGTTCATTTGGCCAAATAATTGTATTAGATTCCTTGTAAAAAAAATCATGGTTGAGCTAATTAATAATCAAATGTCGCTCTCGGCCTTCTGGACAACTAATGACTTCCATTTCTTTTTGGAAGAACAATGGCTTCCATTTCGAGCCGAGCTGTTGAAATACTAATTAAGATTCAGTTAAAAGGGACAGAAATCAGTAGTATATACTCCATAAGATGCAAAGTCAGCGTTTCTCTACACAAGTACGCACAAGTATCCTAGCTGGTCTGACGTTGTGCTGTCAAAAACTGATGACATGCTGAAAGATGCTTAGCAAAGTTCCCCTCTCGATCAATGATTTATTTTCCCAGGAGACAAGTTCTTACAAAGTACTAGTCAATGCTCGATTGTATTCTAGAAAGTGATTTTTGTCATCGTATTGTACAAGTAAACAGGATCAATCACAGAATTGATCGAATGGAAGAACATCAACAGCACCCAGCACTCAATGTCACTCAAGACTATGTTCTTTCTTCTGATGTTAATTCACTCTTTTTCTCGGACATTACAGGTGTTAATTTCCATTTCCGTGCAGATCTAGCTGTCCAATGTGTCAACGAGGGTGATTTATCTGATAGAGATCCTCATTGATTCCTGCGTGTCTCACTTGCATAACCAGAGTTTCCTCCGTGTCGACCAGATGTCGATGTCCTGCTGCTGCTGCTACTGCTACCGTCGTACGGTCGGAGCCATTGCATTTAATCTTCCTGCATCTTAAAGTCAGAGCTGACCTTTTTTTGGGGGGAGATAGAGGCTCAAGATTAGAGCGTGAATGAACGTATCACCCATTCATTTATGGCTTTGATATTTCCTGGTCAAAAATAGGGGATCTTGAATCCTGATACTAGTGGTTGAGACTTGCAGAAGGTGCGGTCTTTTTTTCCTCCACAGGGTTTAAATGTTCATACTCATGCTTGGTTTAGTTCACAACTTTTTCTTCAAACTTTCAATTTTTCTATCACATCAAAACTTTCCTAATCTGTATGTAGGAAAGTTTTGATGTGATGAAAAAAGTTAGAAGTTTGAATAGTTGCCCAATTTTTTCCCTCAAAAATATCACACCGAATCTTTAACATATGCATGAATCATTAAATATAGATTAAAAGAAAAACTAATTACACAGTTAAGGGAGAAATCGCGAGACGAATCTTTTGAGCCTAATTAGTCAATGATTAGTCATAAGTGTTACAGTAACCCACATATGCTAATGATGGATTAATTAGTCTCAAAAGATTCGTCTCGCGATTTCCAGGTGAGTTATAAAATTAGTATTTTCATTAGTGTTCGAAAACCCCTTTCAACATCTAGTAAACATCCGACATGACACCTAAAAATTTTCTTTTCGCGAACTGGCGCCGTCGGCTGTCGCGTGAATGCGTGATGAACTCGCTTTCTGGATCTAAGAGGATTGGATTATCAGAGTTAATCAGCTCACCACGCCGCAATATTTTGTGCTAACCTACACTGCAGCAACTCTGACTGACTAGTGGTAATACGTAGCACTACATTTTTCTCTCTCTGAAAATTACTTCCATTTTTTTTTTGCGAGCAAGCGGACGGTATGACGTTGGGGGTGACGTCAGCGCATATACTACACCACACCTCAACGGTTATCACGTTCTATTATGTTTTTTCTTTATTTTCCTTCATTTTGTTTTATTTTATTTACTGGAAGGAAGCGTGTATTCCGTTTTCTTAGTTCTACCGCCTCGCGGTGAAAGACTTCGTGCAGGGCTGCATGCAAGGCCTATAGGCCCCCTAATCCAACGGCCCAATTCTGCCGTCTTACGTGTTATTTGGTAGGCCGGGCCGGCTGTCTCGGACTCCTGTCTAGGCCGACATTTTAGAATAAGTTTACTTTCACTCCCTTAAATATGCCAATCTGATCATATCCCTCAACCACAATAGCGACAATATCCCTCAACCACAATATCCCTCGACAGACCGCTCATCGGGCCACCGCTCACCGCCGTGATGGGGGAGTTCATGGGGCTCGACTCCAGCACTAGCGACCTTTGCAGCGTGCGGTCGCGGCTCGGGCTGTCATACACGAGGAGACTGGACGGGAAGGAGAGCCTGTTCAACGACGAGAGGACAAGGAAAGAAAAAAGAAAATCTTCATGCTGACATATGGGTCCTACATACTGACTCAGCCGATTAGGTTACATTATTGAGCCACCTCATCAAAAACCACGCTTAAGACCACCAAGAGAGTCATTTTACACTGGTTTTTATAGTTTAGGGGTCAAGATATGGATTAGATTGAACCCGGAGTCGGAGTGAACTTATTCCCGACATTTTCGACAGAACGACCCATCTCCGATGAACCGGCCTGCATCCGCTGATCATCCATCACCGGCTCGTGCGGGCAGCGGCGGTGTTTCATCTTTGCTGGGCCAAGCTACAAACCAATGACGGATCATGCAATGCTCGGCAGGAATCAATTTCAGACTTGTGTCATAAAGGGGAAAAGAAAGAAGATTAGAGCATGCATATAGATATACGTGTTTCTGTATATATTCAGCTTCAAAGCTAGCCTGGCACCACACTGGGTATTTGATTTAGCTTTTTTAGAAAATGATTTGATTTAAAGATTAGACACCCCAAACAGTGTTATCAAAATTCAAAGAATCTGGAAATTTAACGCCCACAGGTCACCAAGATGTTGGAAATTTGGTCATAATTCGGCATATTTTAATCCAAAATAACAAGATAATAAACATGATATTTACAATAGGATTTGATCCAGTGATAGTGGTGAATGTAATCAACATGAGCATGCTTAACGTTGAATAAGCATCAACAATCACATAATGACACAATGTTGACATTGCGATGAACATTAACAGTAAAACTTCTAATTGAAATAATGTAATAAGGTTATACCCCAAGAATGTTCCTCCGCTGGAGTTTGAGGCAGTATTGCCTCCGTTGGTGTTGACGGGAGTCTCCTTCTCCTTGTCTCCAGTGTTCGAAATGTTGGTGAAGATGAAGTAGATGTTGACGAACAGTGAGTAGTCGCGCCTTGCGCTCCCCAAAAACCTGATCGCCCGCCCGTCTGTGCAAACGTCGCAGCAACGCGTGGTTTCGGAGGCCTACTCTCCCAACGCGTGTGCACACACTCGTCGGGATGGGATTACCGTAGCAGCAACAGCTTTTGAAAATGGATGAAAGTGTGTCTTCTTCTTCTCGCGGGAGATCAAATCCATTCTCATTTTATAAGAGGAATGGAAGATGAAGAGTAAGAGTCATGGAATAGGAAGAGGAATGGAGCAACTAATTGTCATCAACTAGCCATGAACCATCCTCCACTACACAACCATCAACCAACAATCAATTAAGAGTAATTGATGTAAGTTACCAATGGAATAGGAAGAGGAATAGAGCAACTAATTGTCATCAACTAGCCATGAACCATCCTCCACTACACAACCATCAACCATCCATCAATTAGGACTAATTGATATAAGTTATCAATTCCTGAATCAAATGGATTAATTCTCAAAACTCTTCATCCCATTGATATCCCATAGAAGAATGAATTCACATGAATTCCTAGCATAATGAGCCTTGGAATTTATTTGATTTAATTGATTTAAATGGATTAATTACCCAATTAAATCTAACACAAGATTGGTCTTTTCTGCGTGATGAGAGCGTTATGTGTGAAGCCAATTCATCACCACCACCACGCCGAGGACTGCGTCGTGGACCATCCCTTTCGCTAGCTCCATCAGTGACAGCAACATTGCACGCGCATTTCCGCCCGGTGCACTCACCAGTCACCACCCGGCCGCCCGGTCCAAAGCTGGGTTCGAGACCACTGAATCAAAAGGAGGTGGAAAAAAAAGAGAGGCGCATCGCCAAAAGCAGCCGGTAAAAACGGCCAATGATCATCATTAAGCTCAAAGCTTGCTAGTGCAGGAACCTCACAGGTGCACTGAACTAGAGACAGTGCTGCTGCTTTGCTTAATTGCTTTTTGGTCCTATGACGATGATGATTGATGAGAGCCGTGACGGTCAAATAAAGCATCCAAAAACATCTTTGCAGTTTTGATATTCGTTAACAGATGGCATGTGAGGGCTTCTGAACTTAGCAGCCAGTGAATTTTTGTTTGTTTCCACTCATGTGAGTTCTGAAAACTAATAACGGCTGACACAAAATCTTGCTACCTAGCTAGATCACCATGTGGCATCGTCGTATTTTACAAAAGAAAAGAGCATAAAAATCATACACAAATGGAGGTATTTAGTATTTACCGACTTTGCCAAGAACAAAACACTTGCTGCAAGCTTAGCGTGTCACTAAACTGTGAAGTGAGGAGATGATTAACAAAGATGTAACGCTACAAATTAATTAAGAAGAGACGATCGAGCGAAGCATGAATGATGCATGCATGTCTAGCTTGGTGTTTAACTGACTAGGAGTCGAAGTTGTAGTGCTTGTCGATGCCGACGACGACGTCCCATGTGCAGCTGAGGCCCTTGGGGAAGACGACGAGGTCGCCGGCGCCGAACTCGACGCACCTCCCGGTGCCCTTCACGGAGGCCCTCACCCTGCCCTTGAGGAGGTAGCACGTCAGCCTCGCGTCGAACTTGAGCGGGAACTTCCCCGGCGGACACCCCCATCTTATATAACCAATCACATCCAAAATTAAACTAACTTAGTTTTACAAATCAAATCACACCGGATGGAAATTAACAACCAAATAACGAGGAGATTAATTAAGGAAGAGCCAGGCTTATGCATGTACATACTTGGGCCACGACTTGATGCCGAGCTGAAGCAAGCGCGCCTCCGGCGGGTTCTTCTCGACGGTGATGGACAGGCTGGGGCCGGCCGCCGCCGCCATGGTGTCCGGACTCGACGTCGTCCCCATGATCGAGGCTGTACTGTCCGACGAGCTCGCAGCTACTATACGATCGAGTCCGAAGCTAGTTAAAAGGCTGGGGCATCACTAGCTAGGTGATCTATAGCTTGTTGCTAGGAGAAAGAGAAACAAAAAGGGACGCGCAGCCAGTAGCGTCACCTGGAGGTGGAGAGGCTCCAAGCGCACTTTGGGGGTGGGATCAGAGAGAGCTTCTGGTATGGAGGGCAAGGGAGGGAAGGAATCTGTGCGCGATTTTCTTGTTCTTTATTGCACCCACGTACACACCCGTCGTCGAACGGACTAGCCCGATCGATGAGGCGATTACTGAGCGAGGAGCGAGGTTTTCTTGCTGCCACGGGTTGGTCGCAGCAAATTAAGGGGCGGCTTGGATTTATGCCTAGTTTAGATGTCCGGATTCATATACAAGAAAAAAAATTGTGCTCTAGTACGTAGTGTTCAAACATATCACCTTATTATTCACCTGAGATTTATCTTTTTTTTCCCTCCCTACATACATAGTATATTGAGTATCTTTTTTTTTGTCGTGGTAGATGTTATAGTGTTGAACATCTCTTAAATTGTTTTTATTTCTTTTAGTTTTTAGATATATTTATGAACTAGGTTATCAAAGGAAAATCGCTAGGTTGAGTGCGCCTTATCCCTACCAGTGGAGGAATTTATGAACTTTGATAAGCTATTTTCCTTTGGTTGGTGTGGTTGTGTCGTCTTTTCATCTACCATTGTGTTATTTCTAGTGTGTTTAGGCTTCGTGCCAATAACTTTGTAATAAGTGGTTGTAGCTTCAATTGAAGCAAATATCGGGTTTTATATCCATTATCTAAAAAGGTAGAGGAATTTAGATATGCTAGACATATACATGCGCGGACAATGATAGATATTATTGAACACTGAAAATATATGTCATCATAGTGTCATTACTTACGAGCCGAGTGGTTGCTCGGGCTGATCACCAAGCCATTTGATTCACCCTGGATCCAATGCATGTAATTTAGCCAATATTTGGTTTAACCCAACCACACTATTATTTGTGTACACAACAGAAGTAAGAGTAATAGTAACTTATTGAGTACATGTTATTTACAAGATGATACATGCCACCAACGTAGGAATTACAAAAATAACCTACCACTATATCATTGTTCATTGGTTAGTTGTTGCTGAGTTCTTGTTGATGTAATGTAAACTTATGACACTAGCACATACCGGCCCATATATGATGGCCTCAAATGAATTTTTATAGGCAAATAGTATAAAAGATTTGTTAGACACTCTTCTTCGAATTCATTCTTGTCTTCTATGCTAGTACCTTTTCTCTCGTATCAAGTAGCTTTGCACGAAGGACATGCTTCTAAGCCGACATTATCCTTGTATTACAATATACAGTCAATTGGGTATGCGTGAATTCTCTGTACCCTAGCCTCAGTGGACATGATACATTTTTTTCTTCATAAGTTGTCTTTGGTAGTGTGTTCCCCTAGAAATAGACCCGTCAACAAATCAAGTAGTTCAATAAAACCTCTATTAACCATCCATTGCTTGCCTTACGTTTTACAAGTTCCAACTCATCTGATAATTTTGTGTACTATGGTTTACAACCATTATAAATAGAAGTCTCTTGATTTGTAGCCAACCTATGTGTGACTACCACCACCGTTGTCCTCGACCTATGGTGAAAACGAGATATGCTACCTTTTCCTATTCGGTAACCAATCATCTCATTATACCATTACATTTGTTTATTATATAAAATGCACTGGTATATCACGTGGTGCAACCATCTCTTTCTCAGAGTGATATGAAGTTGGTTGTTGCTACTCTTTTTTTTTGGGAAAATTTGGCTATCCTCTTGTCTGGCTAGCTATCAAAGGAGTATTTTTATAAACCAAATGAAAGACGTATAATTTAGATGAGATTAGATGTAAACCAAACAAGTATTGGAATTTACGGCCCACATACCGACCTATACTCTATCCGGAAAAAAAAATCCAATTCTAAGCAATACGCATGGACAAGTTCATGTTCAAATTAATTTTTTTTACAGACGGTGTATGTAACACCTGGGAAAACCACGCTGGGTACACGTTGCAGTTCTTACCGCGCTCCCATCCACCGAGCCCAACTGCCCAAGGCACGTCGTGCACACTGATGACGCCCACGCGGGCTCAGATTCCTCGTCGCCACACACGCCACACACCAGCAGTACTACACCGGCTAGAGTCATCTCTCAATACTTCGTCACCTCGTCGTACCCCAAGTCCCAACCCAAACCGCACCACACGCTCCGCTCGCGCACAGTATAGACGAAAACGACCAGACCAAAAGCCCGGAGGAGAGGACAGTCCGTCCCCCTACCGCACGAGTGGGCCCCACCTCTGCAGTGACGCCAGGTGGGTCCCCCTCTCTCTCTCTCTCCGACTCTCCCAACGCTGCCGCCGCTCTCGTGCGCCGGAAACAAACGCCGTCCTGACTCCTGACGCGACTCGACCCGCTCCTCGCTTCGCTTGCCTCGTTTAGAGCAAGTTTAATTGATTGATAAGAGCAAAGGTTAATAATATAGCCAATTACTAGCTCCAATTTATTTATAACTAATCTAATAGCCAATTTATACAATAGTTGCTTACTATACTATTAGTATATGGTCCCATTGTCATATACATATTGCGTCTTGGAGTCCGTGCTGTAGCTGACTACATATCTGTAGCCCGCTGCTCTTCTCCCTTATCTTTTATCTCATTAAAATATATTTGTAGCTGGCTAATAGTCTGCTATTGTACCTGCTCTAATCTCACTACTAACTTCAAATCATCTATAGACAATGTAATAGCCAATTCATACAATAGTTGCTTACTATACTATTAATACCTGGTCCCACATGTTATACACACATTACGTCTTAGAGTCTGTACTGCAGCTAGCTACATATCTGTAGCCGGTCCCACCTGTTATACACACATTACGTCTTAGACTCCGTGCTGCAGCTGGCTATAGATCTGTAGCCTGCTGCTTTTCTCTCTCATCTTTTATCTTATTAAAATATGTTTATACTCCCTCCGTTTTACAATGTAAGTCATCCAGTATTTCCCATATTTATATTGATGTTAATAAATCTAGATAGATATATATGTCTAGATTTATTAATATTAATATAAATGTGAAAAATGCTAGAATGAATTACATTTAGTAGCTAGCTAATAGCCCAGCTATTGTACATGCTATAGCCTGTTATTATACATGCTCTTTTACGCACGCAACGGCGCACGCTCTTCCTCCTCTTCCCCTCTCCTCCTCGGCCACGGGCCCCCCTCCTCCCTTGCTCTCTCCCTCCCACGCTTTCCGCCGCAGCGGCGGTCGCGGAGCACAGTTACGTCTCGTGTCCAGCGCCCAAGTGTGTGGGGGGTGACTTCGGGAGGGGGAAGGGGAAGCGGGTTGCTTCGGCTCGAAGCTTCCGCCGCCAGCCATGGGCGACGCCGCCGCCGCCGCCCCGGCAGCCGCGGCGGCGGGGCCGAGCAGCACGCGGGGGGAGCCGAAGGATCCGAGGACGATCGCGCGCAAGTGAGTACCGCCCGTCCTCCTCCTCCTCCTACTACTACCGCGTCCGCGTCTTCCTCGTTAGTTTTTTTTTTTGGTTATTTTGTGGGGGATTTTTGATGCGTCGTGGATGGTGGTGGGTGGGACGAAGTGAAATCGCTGCTGTTTGTTCCCTCGAAACGACGATACCTTCGCGTTTCGTGATTGATTCGTGGTTTTTGTTACTCGGGAGTATTGGGAGGTTTTAGGTGGGTTTTATGGAGCGTTTTTTTTTTTGTGTGGAGCATTTTCATGCTCTATTCTCTGCTGTCTGGTAGACCGATCTGATTCAAGCATAGGTCAGCGGATCAATCTTAAGGAGACAGTGAGTCCGTAAAATGTTTTTCTATTAGTTAATTTTAAGGTTTTACTACTCGTAATTTGCAAAGCAATCCCCGTTTTTATTGCCTACGATTCGATACTGTCAGATGCTTTCTCAGGGGAAGCGGTTGCATATCTGCTAATAATTGGTACTACTCTTCACATATTGATGGCTGTTGATGCGCATTCAAAGCCTGTGTTTATGTAGACTGCGCCGTTACTCGGTGGCAATGCAGTGTGCCAGATAATCTGTAGTAGTAATATCATCTCCATGCATAAATGAACTACATTCCCTTTATTATACCAGATTGTGTGCCATTTGCCTCGTTTCTGCAATGGAAGCGGGAGAGATCTGCCTCTCTTTGTCAAAAAAAAAAAAAGAGAAGAGAAAAGATTCTGTGGCATTTGCACCCATTTTAGCTCCCTTGCACCCATACTCTGGCAGGACACGGCACCCTTTCATCGAGTTCAGAATGGTGCAGCACCTGGCGAACTATCTTGTTTTGTTGCATTTCTTTAGCTTTTTTAATCCATTCCTCCGCTTTGTTCAACTATGTGTAATTTATGTTTTTTTTTGTGAGGGCGTAATTTATAGAATAGCATTGAAGATTGTTTTAATTTTGTGTATTTAGGTATCAATTGGATCTCTGCAAGAGGGCTGTGGAGGAGAACATCATAGTGTACCTTGGGACAGGATGCGGTAAGACGCACATTGCCGTGCTGCTGATTTATGAGCTTGGTCATCTCATCCGCAAGCCAAGCCGCGAGGTCTGCATCTTCCTTGCCCCAACCATCCCCCTTGTACGCCAGGTAGATATCCTCCTTTCCTGGTCCGCACTGTAGGTTTACATCAACTTGCAGCTGCTCCCAATCATTTGTTACCATTAAGTTTCCAATTTGCAATATGTCAGGGTAACCGATTTGAATTGGGAACATGGGTTCTTAATTTCTCACTAGAAGTGTGCATCTCAATTTGCTTATGAATGGTTATAGCTCCACCTTTCAGAATCAAATAAAACTTTACATGGTTAATCAGTGTATTATCAAAAAAGAAAAACCATGGTTAATCTGTGCTCTTGCTCACTAAAAAAGTAAGTATTCTTTATTATATTATACAGCAAGCTGTGGTGATCGCAAGTTCCACCGATTTCAAAGTTCAATGTTATTATGGGAATGGTAAAAACTCGAGAGATCATCAGGAATGGGAGAACGACATGAGGGAGTTTGAGGTACACTTTGCAGTACATTACCTCTGCAGACCAGTCAAATTATTATTCCAGCATGAAAAGTATTTGTAAACGAAAGAGAAGCTTTGTAGATAACTAGTTGACTTATCATAAACTAATTTAAGATGCACACGATGGAGAAGAATCTTCAGCTAAAAGGTCCTGCTTAATCCTGCCTAATTTATTCTGAAACTAGAGGTCTGAC